TAATTTGAAGGCCTCATGATACTCTTATAAATTACTGAAAAGTACTTTTTGGTTGGATATATATGCTTGCATTTATTTATATATATGTGAAGAAAGAACATGATTACAGAAAACTAATTTGCAATTTTTTTCCGTGGATTTTTTTATACCGGTTTGGACTTTCCCGAAGAGAAACATTTCGGTTTTTTTCTTTTATTCCGGAGAAGGATGTTTTTATTCTGTGTAAGGAAAAATGAAATATTATTTGAGAAATACGAAATAACGCTCCGTTGGTAACTCCAGCATCCCCTTAAGACATTACTTAAGGTCTCGAAATAAGAAAACAGACTACGAATACCGTCCTTAATGTGCCCTGCGCGCGTTCTAGTGCGCTCGAGGGAAAAAAATCCTGAGGGAAGAATCGAGAGAGATAATACACCCGCACGCGCAAATTGTATTACATCATATATTTACGTGAACTCGTTCGTCGCACGGCGCGCTTCGAGTTTCATCAAGACTCGTTACAGCACTGGCGACAGAGGTCAGGGATTAAATGTGGTCGCGGTTGCCCTTGCGTCGTTGCAAAATTCCTATCCGAGACGACGGAATATACGTGGATATATTCTTGATAGACTGCATCGCGGGCCGTACCGAGCATAAGGATGTGTCACGATAACGTTAGCGGAATACGAAATCGCTCGATGCGCGCAATGAATCATCTCTCGCATTATTGATTTTACTGATGCGTGCGTTATTTTCGGATCATACGCTTCATTCGGACATCACGGGGAATTAACAGATGTGTGCTAATAATGGCGACGAGAGAAAAATCTCAGGAGAGGAAGATTTGACATTTAATGCATCTTACATAATATAGATATGTCGAATACATTTTACATAAGAGAGATATATATAATACAAAAATATAAATGTGAAGGCTATATAGGAGTCAACGCTGGTTGTAATCCACAAATAATATTTTAGTGATACATTAATAGAAAAAAATTGGAACGTTTCAATTTAATTTTAAGTCATCTTCAGCCTCTTAAACATAACGCCGTTAATTTAATAAAATATTGCATTGCAAATCAATATTCAAATTTCTTGAATGTGGTCGTCATGGAGCAAACGTGAGACCGTATTCCAATATTAGTAAATGTTGTCGAATAAGAGAGTTTCAAACCTGAGCGGTTGTAAGAACTCAAGCTCACAAAATCCAGAGAACGGCCACAATCAGTTAATAATCATTGTAAATGAAGTCAAAAACTTCTTTCTCGCCACACATTAACATTTTAAAGATTGAACATTCTGGAATAACCGAAACATGTCTTGTCGATTTAACAAACGGTCAAATAAGCAAGATATAATATTTAATGTGTGCACATAAGAGGAACAAATTGCAAAAGTTAATTCTTCGAACGTAGGATTCTTCCCAACACATTCATTTCATAGGGACAAATGGTGATCTCGTCCAAGCCGACTGTAAAACGTTGGCCATGGATCGATATCCCGTAATGTTAGCGTTGGTTTTCCAAGGGTAGGAAAGGAGGAGCACACAAGCGAGCCAATTTGTCGAGGTGAACGTCACCCCTTCGTACGTTCGCCCACTTCCCCGAAGAGTCGTTATTTCAGTCCGTTTCTGCGTTCTGCTACTTACTAGCCAGCGTCGCGAGAACCGCGCCGATTTATTTACGCTTTCGCGAAGTTTGTTTCTTGCCTTGAAGTGGAATTTCCATTCACCTGGCCCGTGTCGTGCACGATCGGCTACGTAAACGCGACGGAACTGTGCTTTTTTACATGTCGAAATCCCAAAAACGGATCAGCGAGAAAACCACGTTCTCTCAGGTTATTGTTTATATACTATATATGTATACTGAGAAAAATATCTGGCTGAAATATCGTTGAAATTCTGGTTAAAAATGGATGAATCAGAATTTTCTGGAATCTTCTAGTTGTGATAACCGGACTTCTAATCGATATTTTTCTTGGTTTATATACTACCACGTATGTACTGAAATTAATTGTCTGAACAGTACATCATTACATCCGGTGATTTCTTCAGACTATTCTTAAAATTAGTGTGACAATATTAATATTAATCAATTAAACTAATTGTGAAAAACACCTTTTATGAATACAATAATAATAAATATAAACGTGAAGGCTATAGGAGTCAATGCTTTACTGGTTTTAAACATGGATAATAATTTAATAATAAATTAATCCTTTAATAATAAAATAATAAAAAATTGGGAAAATTTTTCAATTCAATTTTAAGTCGTCTTTAGCTTATACCTCTTAAACATAACGCCGCTAATTTGAAATATTGCATCGCAATATCCAAATTTCTTGAATGTGGTCAACATGAAGCAAACGTGAGACAACGAGCCGTGATTCCAACATCAGTGAATGTTGTCCAACAACAGTTTCAGAACTGAATGATTATGAGAGAATTCAAGCTCACAAAATTCAGAACCAGTTAATAATCATTGTAAATGTAGTCGAACATTTCTTTCTCGTCACACAGTAAAATTTCAAAGATTGAACATTCCGGAATAACCAAAACATGTTTTGGCGGTTTAACAACAGTCAAGTTGTCTCACGTTTGCTCCATGACGACCACATTCAGAAATTTGGATATTGATTTGCGATGCAATATTTTAAATTAGTAGCGTTATATTTACGAGATATAGGCTCAGGATCACTCAAAGTTGAGTTGAAACATCCCAATCTTTTGTATTAATTTATTATTAAAATATTACGCATGTTTATAACCAGCGTTGAATCCTATAGCTCTCACATTTATATTAATTATTTTTGTCACAATATTAGTTTCACAATTCTAAGCATAAATGTAAACTATTAATGCCATAATGTACGTGTAAAGAGCCACAATTTTTAATACTTTAACAATAATTTGAAGAAATAATCGATGTAGCGGCGCAGACAATTGTCCAGACAATTAGTTTCGTGATTATTTACATGCTTGCTTATAAAACGTGCACAATTTGAAAACCCTATAAACCCGAGATACCCTACTCAGTATTGCGGAGTTTTCAAATTGTACGCTTTACAAGTCGATCTATGGATATCTCAGGAAGACCGGTAAAATGAGTAAAACGATTCGTTCGCAAAATGTGTAAGACGTTTCGTTAGGTATGTAACCCGATGCCATAAACGCGTGATGGGGCCACGTGCTGGTCAACCACTCATTTTATCGCTGACACTTCGATTTTTCTCCGATCCGTAACTATCGGTCGCTCCTTCCTTTTTTTTTTTTCTTTACATATTCAGCACCATATAAGACACCGGTGCAAAATTACGTTTCCTACAACCATATGCGAGTTGATGGACTCTTGAAATAATTCTATTTAAAATTTAAATGATTATTCCGACGAGATTTTCATGGCTGAATCGATGATGCGCGAATTGATTGCTAAAATACCATGAATGATGTTGCAGGAGCATGACCTGGAGCAGAAGATCGAGGTGGAAATCAAGATGAGAGAAGGCTCGGCGAGACTTTTGGCGGCTGCGAAGCATCGCGCCCAGAGCTTAGAGGCCGCCAAAGCGTTGCTTACGTCCAACGAGAGGATGTCGGTTTACATGGCGGAATTGCAAAGCCGCCGCCGCGAATCTTCTAAACAATCCTGGTTCGTTCATACGCTTGTTTTGTCGTAGAAACAATAAGAAGAGATATCCAATATATCTCCTGTACATTACAATTTAGTAATACAATAATTAAAGTAGGGGCTAAGAACCAACGCTAGTTTTTATTGCTAATATTTAATCTTTCAAATTTTTTAAATAACAAACGTTTCATCCTTATACTAGGACCTTTTCAATATTGATCGCATAACTAAACAGAAATTCTAATTTACATCATACAAGTCAAAACATTAAAACAGAATAAAAATTACAAATTTAGTAAATTTATGGTGAATACAATTTAAATTCGTCTTGATTCGCTGTCATTTCTTCATAGTTTATCTTATACGAATATCTCAAATTAAAAGAGAGTTTATAATTTAGTAATAATTACGTCAACGCGTGTGTTTCCAGTATTTCTAGAAGTACGGGAAAGTTGTCAATCTCGGATCTTAGGATACCGTTAATGTGGAGAGACTCCGATCACTTCAAGAATCGCGGTGATCATCGTCGGTTCGCTGTATTTTGCTTAGCACGATTGGGCACAGAAATTCATGACACCTCTTTATTATGCCCCATTGATAGAGCTCATACGGATCTCAGCTTTCCCGATGTCTTATTATTGTAAGTGCCGATGATTAATACATCCTTTGAGACAAGAACAAGTTAAAGTTATTTATAATCATGCTACTCAAAAGGACATGCATAACAATTGTCAATTTTTGTATCTATTTTCAGTAATAATGTGCCAGCCGAATTTGAGTTAATTTTAGAAGTCTATAGCCATGTTTTGCAAGAGGACTTAAGTATCGCCAGCACGCCGAGAAGAATTAAAAAGACTATTCACTCGTCGATTTCGAAAACCGTCGGCAAGAAGCTCGCTGCTTCACTTCGTGACGAATTCGGTTCCGCCAAATCGTGAGTTTCTGCTTTCATAAATATACAAATTAATTGAGCTTCATTCATAAATATTTTGACTTTTATATACTTTCTTTCCAGTGGACCATACTTCGATTTAGTAGCTCGTGCTAAACTGACCTTAGACGATACGAATGATAATACTCACACGCACGACCTTGTTATTAATAGCATCGGTAAGTTGTGCGAGAATTCGGCGAATTTTTCGAAATACTTATATCATGATTCTTTCTTCAGAGAACAAGTATCACTCCCTGCCGCTTTTCGGCCACTTTTGCTGTCGATTGGCGGTACAGCCAGAATCCATTAATAAGGAAATGTGCATTGGCAATGTGAAAATCGATGGTCAAGATTATTGGGCACGTCTGCAAGGATTTTGTATAAAAATATGGGAATCAAAGAAGCATGCGGAAGAAGGTCAAAATCCGGAACACATAATACCTATTAATAAAGTTAGTTGACATTTTCTTATAGATCTCTTACATAATTGCACTGCGTTATTTCGTTTAAATAATTTTTTCTATTATTTGTATAGAGAACAATCATTCAACCGTCCAAAAGTTCCGGCAAAGAAATTCTGATAAATAATTCTGGCAACAGTATGGAAAAGCTGTTGTTTATTAAATTCGAATCAAAGGAGGAAGCTCAAAAATGGTCAAAGCTCTTATTGGTACACATCAACGATCATTCGAGGTGGAAACACGCAGCGGAAGTTATTCAAAGGGTGTCTAGCATTGAAAGTACGAGAAATTCCTTTATCAGTAATAAAAGACAGGGTTCCTTGTACGACGAGACACCTTTAATAGGTAAAAATGCACAAGTTATTATGTAATTCTAAATCTATAAAAAGACGCTTTGGAATCTATCAAAGTTATTAATTATTATCTCTTTATTATAGAATCGATCCCGGATTATTCATCCACAAGACCTACTGTACAAACGATCTTTGATCTCACACCTAGTACTAGTCTAAGCAGTTGTAGTTCCACAAATAGTCTAACAAGTCTACGTTCACGTTCACTGAGTATCAGTGGCGTATTTAAACAAGGTGCCATCTCTTTAAAGCCACACTTAGTTAATAAAAAAACGTAACGATTTCATAATTCTTTTTAAGAAGAATCATAAAGCCGAGTAATTATTATGCGAGAATAAGCTAGAACTTTTCAATTTTGACCCGAGATGTATACACTAAGGTACTTTAATTGGATAAGTTTACTGAGGTAAAGGAAAGTTCAATTAAACATAATTTCTCGATTTAAAAATACATTGTCAGTACTGAAAATCACGTTACTTATATAATAAATTGTACGTATACAATAAACCCAACAAGCAGCGTAATAAAGGGAACGGCCCGGAGGGACAGTTCATTATCGGGCTGTTCCTCACCCTGATAAAGTGAACTGCAAGGTTTACGAAATGTTGGCATTCTAATAGCGTTTTTTATTGACAGAACTAGTGATATTGCACTCAGTGCATATTAAAGCTATTGTACACTATTCTAATCTAAATATAAAAGTGAAATCTCAATTGATAAAATGCCCAATGTGTATTTTATCAAATAGCACAATAAAATATATCGAATATTTCGCGGTTTCTATATTTTTATTAAACGTGCATCTTTACATTGATTTGTGTACAACGGTTTTAAAGTGCACTGAGCGCGCACTAGTTCTACCAATGAAAAACGCTATAAGAATGGACCTGGACACGGAGAAAACCTGTGAAACGTATCTTTATATAGAAAGCACCCGTGGAAGCCTCAAGAATATACAATAAATTTTCAGTACTAACAGTGTATATCCAAAAATGGCCTTAATACACTCTGTATTAACCGAAGAGACTTTTATTGCAGGGAAAATTTTAATTCAGCTGAAAATGTAATATGTATCGATTGATATATAAATTCAATATGTATGAAAAACTTGATATTAGATATAGTTATACAGTACAAATGATATTGATTAAACTATTTCTTATTTTTCTCTTTTCTACTTTTATAATGCGAAATCTTATATATCGCTAAAAGTACAAGGATAGTACTATAGTACCCTATAGTGTCTTATTATATAATGCGTTTAAGAGTTTAGAAAATATATGAGCATTGCAATATTTAGTATGGCTGTAAGAAGATATGCATATATATATATATATATATATATATATATATATATATATATATTATATATA